TTGTAAATTTGAAGTTACCCTGCTGTCACATGACTATGGTGAGCTTCCGGCAGCCATGAAACAGAGACAATGTATCGAAGAAACTATTTGCATTTCAGTTGAATTTATTCAGTTTTGTGCTTTATTTTATGTTGATGTAACTCTGTAGTAACGCACCTGATGAGATACAGTGAAATATGCCTGGCAATAAATTGTGCAATGTATTGTTGTATCCGCATTATTTAAATTCATTACAGGAAAACGTTGTTTTGAAGATATTTCTTAGTCAAACAGCAGTACACCAGGTTGGTGAAAATATTGCCATTTCAATTATAGGAACCTAAGATAAATTTTATTAATCCTACAAAGTATTTGAGTTACAAATGTATAAAGTTTACCATCACTGTGCAAAAAACTTGATGGTTGCATGAAAACTGTATAAATACTGAGGAAGTAAAAGGCACAACAAATATTCAAACAGCAGTACACCAGGGAGGTGAAAATGTTACCATTTCATTTATAGGAACCAAAGATTGATTTGATTAATACTGCACAATATGAGTTACAAATGTATGAAGTTTACCATCACTGTGCAATGAACACAGTGTCTCACAGTTCCAAATCATAAGACAAAAGGGGTTTTGCCGGTTTCATTAATGCAATGAAAGACATTTAAAAATTCTGCATTTTTATAAATGTATTTCAAATGACCACAGGAATTATCTAATGCCCCCAGACCCTTTTCTCTCTCTGGCTATTTCAGAGATGCTAGACCAAAATGACATCCTTTGAATGGTGATTCTGATGAAACCTTAGATGGTGTAGAAAAAACTGTTAACTTCAGAATAAACCCCACATAGTATATGCCATATTTAAAATAAGCTCATCAAATTAGGATGTAATCTTTCAAACAAGATAACTGTTAGCATAAAGTCAAATGGTAAATGCAAATCAACAGTTACACATGAATATACACACAAAAAATATGTAAAGCTACGGATGTCTTTACAATAGAAACCAACTGAGACTTAAACAATCTGTTGTACATAACTTGTAGAAAAAAACAATATCTTCACAAAATTGTAGTTGCCATGAGTGGAGCAGCAGATTTAAGGCCACCGTGGGAAAGAACATTTTATAGCCCACAAAATAAGAAACATGTTATCTACCACAGCTAACAGTCCCAGGCATAGTTAGAGCAGTGAAGTAGAATAATTTGATTACTTGCAGAAACTACACTGCACACAATCAGAATGGAATGGGTGTAAAAACGCCAGTGTAGCTAATGCTGCAACAACAAAAACCACACATCACAGATGAATGTATCATAATCTGGAATTACTTCCAGTATATAAATATAGTTTCTTACATGTATCACAGATTTTAAAAAGGAATTCAGAGAGCTGAACTGTGTTAAGACACATTTGGAATTGAAGTATTTAGTTACAACATTAACCATTTAAACAATGTTGATATCATCAATTTCACACACAATGACATCACAGGTAAAACAAAAATACAATTTAGAAAAAATAATCATAAATACACAGAAATAATATCCTCTGCAATGCAATATCAAAGTATTTGGGACTGGTACAAAACATTTAAATGTGGCCAACAGCTACCTAGATAACAGCTGGAAGGTGTATTAGAAAAAAATATAGAACATCCAAGGCCCTCCCTCCACCCCACCCCTCTGTGTGCTCCAGCAACTCATTGGAGGGGGGGGGGGAGACAAGAATAGACCCACCCCCTCCCTCTTTTCCTCCCTCCAACTAAGCTTGTAATAAAAGTTGATTGGTATGTGGAAAAAAAATGAACACTTTTGCTGACAGGGCTATAAAGGTCAATGAATAAGCTGGTATGGTTGCTGGCTGGAGTAATGTGGAAAGCAAACCCTGAATAGATGGCAAGTACATCAGATTAAGAGGGATGAAGCTAGGCAAGAATGAGATGCAGGAGACCAAAGATGAAGAGTAAAACAACACAGAACTAAAGTTATCATTCAGCATAACCTAAGAGATTATGAGATGGGGACGTGAACACATGGACTCAGTGGTCTTAGATGCAGGAGACAACATTGAATTGGCAGCACTAAAAAAAATAATGTTGAATTGGCAGCACTAAAAAAAAATACAAGAACTTCATGTCAAAAGAGGTGTCGCCTGAACATGAACACTATATAGGCAGCCAAAGAAAAATAGCAAACCAACAATGAACTTGTGTGTCACCACATGCTGAGCGATATCCTGCAGATGAGATCTGATCACTTACGGACTTGCCCAATGTGATAATCTGTTGATTAACTAACTAACATGCAGTAAGGATGCTCTGTCCACTGACTAACTATGCATGATTTGCAAACCTGAGTCAGGTTTTAAGGACAAACACTGGACCATCCCTGCAAAAGGTCCACAACTCAAAACCTAATATATTTCTTTGCACTATAGCATTCAAGTATGGGAAATAGAAATGAGACTGGTCACGAAAGCCACATTATCACAGGCTAAATCAATGGATCAGGCCAACATCACGAACACCCTTAGATACTGCTTGTTTTACCAAGTCTCTCAACTGAATGGAATCAGCTCTGTAAATGAGAAACAAGAATTCAGACTAAATATTTCCTTGTGTGGCTACTAAGGCCCCATTGTTGAGGGGGGGGGGGGGGGGGGGGGGGGGGGCAGGCATGGGAGGGCAGAGAGAGACCCACTTCCTCTCAAGCACATCAGAACTGACAACTAATTTTGTTGAAAATAAATATGTCGGATTGAAAGGCGCAGATATCACTGCTTAGCTGTAAGCCACAACACAACATGCCCACTACACCTTAGGTTCAAAAAAAGAAGAAGTAGAATGATTAATAATTAGTGTGGTCAGGTAGGACCAGAACACAAAGTGTTTGATGAGCTTAGTAATCAGCAAAAATCTGGACACAGATTATGTATGCTGGATCTACTACTGAGGAAGATGGAGCCCCAACAGATTAAATTGGAGAGCAACGATCTTTATTGAAACTGAAATAGCATTGTAGTCTTTTCCAGCCCTACTGACGAAAACTGAAAGAGGCAACCTAAGACAGACTGGTGAGTTGATACAAAATGGATTGGTTATGTGAGAGCGGGCCCGGCTCTCTAGCGTAGTTAGCAAAACCGGATTGCGCGGTGACCGGGTGACGAACTCCTTGTGGTCCGGGTTCACTCCCGGGGGTAGGCAGAAAAGCCACATTTCTCCCAGATTTACGGTATTTACAATGGAATCAAGGCCGAAAGGTTTCGAAATCCATAATACCGAGCCTAAGGGTTAACAACTCATGGCTTCTGGATACTAAAACAAACAAACATGTGAGAGCGGGGAAAACGGCTTCAGCTATTATGGGCTCCTTGTTGGTGTTGAATTAATTATTTCATTCACAAGCATTTGTGTAAAGCTCATTATGTGAAGAAATTTCAACATAAACTAAAACAAATCAGACTATCTCAGGCATTTGAAGAACGGGAAGGCAGTATTCAGAAATCTGTGTACCCATCACAGTGCAAACTGAGGATATGCTCTTCTGCTCAGTTTAGTAACCAATAGGTAAATATGGCCACTACCCAAACAGCTGTCTTGATTTTTCTAGATATTTGGTTATAATTTGACAAACTAATCAAATTATAATTTGAATAACCAGTCAATCCCAAAAGCTGTTTTATTAAAATGCAGTCTATAAACTACTGGGGATTACCTGAAAATTACAAAATAATTGCTAATTAATGCAAATGGACAAGGAGTTAAACCTGACTTGTACATATGAGGGATGGTAGATTTTGTCACATTTTTGTGGCAGTAGACAGAATAAATATGACATTTTTTTTAAATGATAACTGTGAATTTAAGGCACTTTCAAAAAAATCTACCTAACAAAATAACAATACCCTGATGAAGTCATCTTTCATCTTTGATGTACATACCATGCACATTAAGTATATTTTTTTTAAATTAAGTTTGCTATCACTGATTTAGCTACAAAAAGAATATTGTTTATCAAATTCTCAAAATGCAACGCTTTGATGCAGTGAAATATCTGCTTGTTTCAGAAATTGGTGAACAATGTATAGATACAGTCAACTATTAAAGGAGATATTGCATCTCATGGAGTTGGAGATACATTGGATACCTTCAAATTTAAACATATTTTAAAGAAACAAGACATGAAAACAAAACAACAGTGAATAAAAACAAAAGCTAAACAAAAATCTTCAAAATAAACAAATAAAACAGCTCAGCAAGTATATGAATGAAATCCACCTAACACAGTGACTACCAAATCAGTATACGTTCCTTTGTGGACTTTTGATTACATCACCACAATGTGCAGTGCTTACTTTTATTATTAATACTTATTCCTGCCCAGCCAAATAACAAATAGAACAAAGCAGCAACAGAAAGGTGCAAACATTACCATGAAGCGCTGCTAATGCTCATGAACCATTTAAAACTGGACAAACAATCAATTAACAAATGTTGAATATGACTAAAATACTAGAAATAATTTTAATTCTGCTTACAATGCCCTGATTTGATTACTTCAATGGTGCAATGCAAATTGAAAACGTTGTACTAGGCATTAATGTGCAAATTCTGCTTATAAGACTTAAATATATAGTATACATACAGTTGTCACTGTCAGATTTAATGAATAATTACTATTAAATTGTAAAAAAAAATGTGTTTGCATCAGTATGTAAGGCCTCAACATGGAGAGTAAATTCCTAATATTTTCAAGCCTAAAAATGTAATCTCTGTTGTCAACATACATCTCTGGAACTTTATAATTAAAAAAAAAAATGTTTCTTTATAATTTTAAGATAAGAAATTCAGATAAGAATTCTAGTATTCTACAATATAATCCAAAATATGATCTTGTAGACAACAGGTGTATTCTTGTAGACAATATCTGTTCTTGTAAACAACATCTGTGTTGTAGAAAACTTCTGATCTTTAGACATTATGTGTCCGCTACTGTAGTGGCTTTAAACCTATGTAACTGCCTGCTTGGTAGGTGTGCTGGAGGGAAGGCCATATAAGAACATCAGGAGGAACTTGATACCACTGATTATGAGTGCTGGAATGTTAGGAAACTGAAACAGAATCATTACATTGCAATGAATTATTTTCAAGTACATCAGTCAAGCAGACATTTAGAAAAATAAAATATTGAAACAGTAACAGAATAAAGTGAGATTAAACATAAAGGTGTTAGTTCTATGTAACATATGGTGGTGAACATAACTATTCAAAGCAAACTGCAATTGGTATTTTAATTTGGGTGATTTTTTCATTTTCTGTTTCATTAAGGATTACTTTCAATGCACACTTTTTACTTTATCAAATAGAATACACAAGAATACTGCACAAACTCCATAGCACTGGCTAGGATCCAAAATGTACATCTCAGAATCACTTTAGAAAATGCAAATGTTTTTACTCTTTTCAAATAGTACATAGATAGTAGCCTATGTACTATTTCCAAATGTGAACAGATTTTGTGTGTTTAAAAAAAAAAATCTACATTGTGGTTTTAATTTACCATACAAAATATAAGTACACCAAATGCATTAAAATAATAAAACTTCCGCTGTATGAGAAAAAGTATGAGGCACAACTAGAAAACATTTAGTAAATCAATGGGTATATTGTGGCAGCTGAAAATGTTTTAGACCAGCACTTGAGGATGGGGTCAGTATAACTGCAGCCACCATTATTTCCCATAGCAAGCCTGTTTTGAGTGTCGATCTTGTCAGACAAATTTTTGAAAAATTTACACTTCAAAACGGATTCAAACATTCCTGTGCTACAGAGGCTCCCTAACCGTACAAAACATTGGTCTCCAATCTTTTTTCAGGTTGTAGCCCCCCTTCCTTAAGTAAATTGCAAGGCCTCCATGCCCCCCTTGAGTGTATGGCAAGACCCACATACTTCCTTGTTTTGTAATACAAAATATGATGAAATATGGGAGGACAAAATATTCCACAATAAGGGTAACAAAGCCAGGAGATATGGTTTGGTCAGAATGTGCTCTTAAAATCTACAATTAAATGCTCCTGCTATCACAAATAGATTTTTAACGGAAGATGTAAAAAACTGCTCCTAAAAGCAAACATGTCCTGGTTTTTTCACTTAAATAATTTAAACAAACTGTTATTTCTAATTACACTTTTAAAAAATATAAGAATTGATTATTGCAAATACAAATGTACACATGTTCAAGATTGCCTGACACCCCCCCCCCCCCCCCACCCACTCTGGCCTGAAACCTCCTTGCGCAAACCACATAGGTCCCCCCTTCCCAGGTTTGAGACCACTGATATAGAAGGTTGTCCAGTCCTTTGCTTCCACCAGCTTATTAGTAATGGTGCACATTTTTTTAAACCCAGAATTTGTAGAAGTGTTTATGAAACTAAAGAAGCAGCCCATGTATTTACGGAAAATGACAGCTAATAAATTTAACAAACACAAATGGAACTTACATAAATGTTGGCATCATTAAGAAGAAAACCATACAGGAACCATACAAAGCCATTCAGTGTACCTCCAAACAATAATTGTAGATTACAGCAATTTGTAGATTTTTCTTTTACCATAGTAACCTTTAATAAAAACAGAAAAAGGCATACTTTAAAAAAGAAATGACATCACATTTTTTTCAATGGCTCAGCATGGTCCAACTTAGAACAGTCTATTCTCTACCTGAGTGTTTGAAGGTCAATGTTAATGGCACATATTTCCAAGTGTTCTTTGTGTTTTAACTTCTATTACAATTTTGGTTTTATTTTGCTCTGGCTAAAAATGTTAAAATATCCAGTTATGACAGTTTATAAGTCAGTGTTATTTGAAAATGATGACTATAATTAACTGTTAATCTTTAAAGGAACATTAAAATATAGAAAACATTCTGCACCCAGTAATCATATCCTTTAGGTTGGTAATGTAACCTGATGGCAGAAACTGTAGCAGGGGTGTGAAGAGTTCGACTTTCACAACTTTTAGAGCATATTAAGCTAGCGGGAGGGGGTGTTACCCATTCCCTTTTGTCACTGAAGATTTCCCCGGACCAGTTGTTCCCAAATGGATAAGACCTTTGGACCCCTTTTATTTCTGAAGGTCTGCCACAGGCCCTCTACTTAGTCATTAAAATTTAATTTTAAAAAGTATATTTTTTTCAAGTGCTGAGGCTTTTCCTAAATCATATACCCTTTACATTTATTCCGTGAACACTTGTGGGTCTCTATGGACCATGAATTAAAAACCACTGCTCTAGACAATTCCAGGTAAATTCTAACTATTATTTAGCATTTATTTTATGATTTCGAGATGGCGACTCAGGGTTGCACTGGTTAAGGAAACAATAATCCTGGCACTATTGGGACTGAAGTCACAACACCTCTATACCACTACACCCTTGTTTTTAAAAAAAAAAAACTTATTTACGAAAAGGCTTTAAATGAAAACCTAAAAAGTTTTATAAAAGAATAAGATACTTACAATTTCATCTGCTGGAATTACACATAAAATTGTGCACCAGATAAGAAGGTAGCTGCCTAACACTGGAACCACATCAGATTTGGGCAGTTCTGTTAGGTAATGAAAATGTGCTGCGTACAAACCCACAACAGCAATCAGCTTCAGCATTGGTGTCAACTGAATATAGAAAATAGATTTAAATAAAAACTTTGGATAATAATTGCACTCAAGTGCAGTTTCAAGTTTTCAGTTGATAATCTATGTCAGCACACCTACATATTAAATACTGAGACTTCCAGAGAAATTTGACTAAAAAGTTCAACAAAGTGGGGAAGCATTATATTAAATACTGTCCTGTTGTTCTTTCCTTTGACCTTTGATGGAGAAAATACCCTCAAACAACACATGCAAAGCTGTCCAGCTTTTATTATTTCATGCAGCTCACTCAATGCTCTACAATTACAATAAATCTCTGTATTTAATTCTTGTGTCAAGTTTTAGGTTTCACAGTTTTTTCCCTTCATTTTCATTCCCTTCCTGATTTCTCCTCTTTCCATGTGATACGGTCAGTGACATTTTGTTCCAAGGAATGACCTCAATACCTATATCATTCATGTCCTGCCTACGCACATCTTTACATCATAGTAAAAGCTGGCCTTGACATTTAAAACCCATCATGTTTGGTAACATATATAATGTAATCTTTTTCAGATACCTAGAAATTTAGAGATTTAGTACACTGTACTGCTTTATAAATACCTTAGATTTGCTAACTAAGATGTAGACAACAACATAAGCTCCCCAGACAAGAACAGCGACACCATTAATGACAATTAACGCATTGTTTGTGATCAATATCCCATAGTGAAGGCCAAGAAAACTCCTGAGGGAAAAAAAAAAGTATAATTAAGCATCCAGGAAAAAGAAGTGCATTAATGTGACTTAAATGCTCATCCCCTTAAAATGTTGATGTTGGGTAGGAAGCTTGAGTGGATTACAGTGTGGATTTTTCAAGGAGGAGCATAGACAGGTACAAAAAGGAGGTTTTCCTAAGACTGGTTATCTGATTCTTATCTGTATACTCAGGTGGAAAATTCTGGTTGTTCGTCCACTCCTGGACTTCAGTCTTGATCCAGAACGAGTTTTGTGTGCACATCCATTTTACAGATCTGGCTTCTTTGTATGCTGACTGTTGGTTACTTGCCTCTCAGGCAGATAACACTTCAACTTTGAAGGAAACACCCCTAATTAGTGGCCTCCAATGACATGTGGGATAGGGGGCGATGGGTCTATTCTCTGTTCTTTAAAATGGAGCCCAGGACCCCAAACAGTGAAGACTGGTAAAGAAAAGAGATGCTGAATGAAATGAAAGAGAAACAAGTGAAATATTTCAACCATATTAAAAGACTTAATTTTCTATTCAAAACCATACTGGAGGGAAAGGTTTGAGACAAGCAAGCAAGAGGTAGACAGTGATATGAATAGCATTGCCAGAGTGTACAACCAGTACAAAAGATGGACTGTCTTCAATTAGTACAAAAGATGGACTGTCTTGAAGACCCTTTGTTGCCAAGATTTTATTATGGAGATAGCATATGACTGAATAACTGATATATGGGGATAAACTTAATGTTTGCAGTCAGTGTATTACTGGACAAATGAACAACTACATCTTCATCATCAAGTGCCTTGACTGTTATGTGTGATAATGACTCTTCATAATCTAAGGAATTCCAGGGAAAATTGACTTAAAAGCTGAACAAAATGGGAAAGCAGAAAAACGTGCACAAAACAACACAAATAACGCTTCGGCCGGGCAGCATTTTTCAAACATAAGGTTATGTCAAATTTCCCTGGAATTCCTTGTATTAGCTTGACTGCAGTCACCCCCATATGTTCACCTCTTCATAATCTGCAATCTTCAACAAACTAAGTTTGTGAGTTGACACCACTCCACGACATGACCAAAGGCTGTCAAGAATTGCCTGGCATTGTCTTTTTTCCCCACAGATATTACTTCATCTGACATTTACTAAATGAGATGGATCATTTGTGGTTTTGCCAAGAGTGCTACTATGTCAATTCTTCAATAACATCATCACCATCAGTAACCCACTTTGTGCACCTAAAATATAATAAAGCTCCATCTGCTCACATTTTTTTTTTTTCTGTATCCAACAATATTTGTTTCAGTCCTCAAATGTTCAGTTCTCTTAAATTTGTTTCCACTCTAATTTCACCATCTTTGAGCACACTTGGATTTGAGGCTGGATTTACATAGCTTGTTTAATCAAAACTTTAATTTTCTTATAAATGCAACAAAAGTTTGCAAAAACGCTGACATATTTGGTCTGGAACTTACACAAATGTAGATATCAAAAACAGCAAATAAGGCACATTAGCAATACTTTTGTTCTTGTACATGGACACACAAACAGGTCTGAGGAAAAATATTCAATTGTAAATATAAATGCATTTTGATGGTGATCAATTTATAATTAAGGTTAGGCTGAAAACAGTTTTTTTTAGATCATTTAAAAGTAAATAATTACGATGTACAAAGATGTAAATTCTGACATCAAGAAAAGAAATTAAAGGGAAACAGTATATAAACAAATAAGTGTTAAGTAACATTACAAACTGTGAGTTGAGTATTTTTTTTTTCATAGCTATTGCATATATACTTACGTAAATTTTTTATTTTTTACTAATTATAATTGTTAATATCATTAATTTTTTAAATTTTTTTATTGAGGGTTAACCATTCTGAAACTGTTTGCTAATTTTCAAATAGCGCAGTAACTTTTACAGACTTTAGAGGTAGTATTTGAGGCCGGCAATAGTAATTGTGGCTAATAACTTTCATAAACTTTTTTTTTTCCATATCTGGCACCACTTTCCAAGTATTTCTTTTAAAAGTATGAATTATAAAAACATACTTTTGCCTAATCTTCAAAATAACAAACTTTAAACTTCAGTTATGTATTGAAAAAAAAACACAACACAAAAAAAAAAAAAAAAACAATAAGACAAACATTCTATACTAGAAATGAGAACACACAATGTCCTTTAAGAACTGAATTTCTCTTTATTAATCATTCTGTGTAACATATGTTATTGCCAAAAATTTTATTATTCTCGGGCAGTGTGGTCTTCCTGCCATTCTGGTTACAATTTTAGACTTGTGCTGCTGTATTATTTTCCTCATGAGCTGTACATTCTTCCTTTGAAAACTAAACAACACTGTACAGTTAAATTTAAAAAATATGCAAACTGTGCAGCATAAAATTAAACAAAGCAGATATTTAAAAGTGCATTTGCCATATCTTACAAAAATAAGAAAATAGGAACAACTATGATGTATATACATACACACACACATACATACACACAATCATCATCGTCAAGTGCCTTGCTAAATTACATAGGCAATCATGCCTTTCCCATACAAAAAAATACCAAACAAGCATTTTGCAAGCTAATAATAGCAAAAGTAGCCATGTCCGCCTTTGGTTAAGTAAGGTGTAATATGGTTTCAGTTCTCTACTTTTGGTCAACAAATAGCATACAAGAGGTAATGTTGATTAGTGTCAGTCTATTAACCTGTTCTTCTTCTTCAGCACACTAAGCCCATGAGGTTCATTTGATGAATGCTAGTAGAAAATACTTAGTTCAAACTCTTTCAAAGGATTCACAACCAGCTACCATGAGTTTACTGTGACATTCCGTCAAAACAAAAACGACTATGTTGGGAGGTGACAGCACTAAGTACTCAGTACCGTACAATTTTTTTTTAAGGGTATATCTCTACACCTGTAGTTTGCTACACAGTACCCACTGCTGTCTCAGAAGATTATGAGGTGACACCCCTAATCTCTTCCATGGTGCATCTCTCATACCATTGACTAAAAACCTTTAGAGCAGTTTTTAGAACAAATGTTCGCCATGCACATCAAATCCTAGTATGTGGAGAATCATGTAATTGTTTAATTTGATCCCTAACCTTAAGTCACAGCCACACACTAAATAGTACAGATGCTATCAAATGCAACAACAAGTCTCCTTACAGATACTTCCTAAATTCTGGGCATAGACAACAGGTGGGCTTACCAGTACTCTTCCTCATTCCCTTTCCTTCCCAGAAAATTCCTAAAAAATTATGAAACTTGGTATCCATCCTTAAGACGCTGGGTCAACCGGAGAACCACACTGGTATGAAAATATCCTGTGTCTTTAGGGGATGGAACCAAAATAACTGGACTACCCAATATGAAGGATTAGGCAGAGCAGAATGTTTAGCTTTGAAGTTATTGTTGCTCCTGACAGTGCTTTGCTACTGCAGTTTCCACATTTGGATGGAAGTCTACAGTTTTGTTGCTTAAACTACTGTGCTGAGTGCTTGGTGTGGCACCATGAGCTGTGTTTTTCATGTGGACTGCTTTTAATGTGTGCAGCTGTTGAGTCGTGGTATTCAATATGGCCAGTAGCTGGTTTACAAATGGGCTGGTGAAATAGCTTATTTGTATAGCCAACTTATTATAATCAACTACTTCCATCAACAACATACTGCATTTCTGGTGGTGACTATTGGCTTTGGCATCTCTAGCAACTGCCATATACATTTACTGCATGCACAGAAATCCCAGCAAAAAATTCTGCAGTAGATGTCCAGATGGGTAGAATTTTTTTTTTTTAAACAAACGCTATCATGTTTTTTTTAATGACTTGTGTAGAAGCCAGATTTCAGTAGTGTGTTCTGACAAAATACATAAAGTAAAAGAACACAACACATAATGGTTGAAATTTACAATATAGGAATACCACATCATGTGTCTCGTGGTACTGAACAAGTGTATAAACAGTAACTTACAAGCCAGAGCCCATCATGATGAAGGTCACAATAACTGTAGCCCATTCTACAACAGACAGCAGACCTGGAGAAGCACTCATTGTCAGGCCCAGATTCACCAGGTGTTAACAATGTTGATGTTAACTTCAGAGACTTAGAATAGTCAGTACTCAAGCTGAGAGTCAACAGTGAATCCTTTGAGCAGTTACAAGGCCTGCATTAGAATGAATGAAACATTAACCTTCACTGGAAATCTCTTGTAAATACTGTGATTAACTAATATGTAATATTTTCTTGATTTTCAACAGTCAGATGTATCACTCAGTGTCGGGCTATTTGTGACTTAGTGTAAAATGAACTAGTCTGACATTTTCTTCTTCTCTAGTCCTCTTCTTCCACTCAGCATCAGATTTTGAAGAGGTATCTAGTGCAATCCTTGGTGTATTCTACACTGATGCTAGTATTCATGACCTTAGATAATCTCCCCATCATTTACATATCTAGCTATAATTTGCAGCACTCAAAGATTATCACAATGCTAATACCTAACAGTTCCGATGACAGCACTGGCCTTATTCAAGGTACACAAATTGACTGATGTATGTTAACAAGTTACAGAGTTGCTGTTCTTTTATACAATCAGGCCTACTTTTTTTTTGTCCAGCGTCAGAAGATATAGCATTTGTTAATGTTAGCCAGAGTACAACTTCTAAACATTGTCTGCCCATTTAGACCATAGACTACTTTTGGCAATTATATACAGCATTTTCAGTTTGAAAAAACTGCCACATGTGTGACATTGTGACATACTTGAAGGTTGAATGATACAAGAATGTGGACTGATTCATGGGAGAAGAATAGCCATGGACTATGCTGCATGCTAGGGAAAATTCAGAGGGGGCATAGGAATAAGTGAGAAAACTATTTCAGACAGGATATGAGAAGAAGCAAATTGAATACATCTGATGGCAAAAATGGTTCTGAAATCCCATTCTCTAATTGTTAAAGAATTTTCTTAACAAAAGCAGATCTTGTTAGTCACACTTGCCATTGCCATGAGCTGTGCTTTTCATACCTTCTTATAGCACAATATTACAATATCATCTGGAAAGAGAGAAAGGCGGGACATGTTCACATTGATGTCACAAATCTAATTAAAAAGGCTTCAAATTAATAATGGGAGGATTATTTTGAAACTTTCTTCTTTACCAGGTACCAAAGTGATATTTCTCTAAGAAATGCTGTTGGCCTTTCTTTTCCATTCAGTGCACAACAACAAGTACATTATCAGTACCTGAGCTGCCCATCTGCAGGCAGGCATTGTATTCTTTGAAATGTTAGCCAGACTGTTAATTGAAAAGGCTTCAAGCCTCTTTTCAACAGTGTCAGATATAGTGCTGGGGCACTGCACTTGGGATGAATTTATGTTTCACATTTATATCTTCTATTATATTTAATCCCATTTGCCGACTGGTCTATAAATTATAGTTTAGCCCTATATGCCTATGCCTTAAGGCATGGAAGAGGATCCTTTACTTTTTTACTTATAATATTTAATGCTAAAATTCCAATAATTTTCAACAAAAATTTATTTATTTAATATTTGATGAAAATGATATAAATTATTAATCTTGAAAGGAAAAATGTCTTTATAGCCCATTGAGAGCCGCCAATGGTGCAGTGGCTAGATGCTCACCCGTGGATTCGAAGGTTGTGGGTTCAGTATCTGAAAATCTGGACTTTTTTAAATGATCTTGGCACCCATGTTGACCCAGTCTGAAATGGGTACCAGGTAGAGTCCTGGGAAGTAAAGGCAGCTGGCTTGATGTTGACCACATCAACCAGAGAGTGCTAATTGATCTATAAAAAGAGGTTTAGTCCTGTATACCCAGTATGCTTCAAGGGTGGAAAAAGGGTCCTTTACGTGCTTCACATAGCCCATCCCATGTGGTGGTGGTAAATTTATGTTCTGCTTCATGCAGTACTAAAAATGCCTGATACAGATAATTCATCCCATGATGCCAGAATAGTATCTCTCTTGTCTTCCCCTTTTTATCTTTATCATTGTCATGGCATTCTCTATTTTGTTTTCCTTTTCAGGATGTATCCACTAAATGAGAACAGCCTTCTGGTGTAAGTAACCAGTTCTCTTTGTGAATTTTCCTCGAGATTATATTCTTTGTATTTGTTTTAGTTCACATCTTTGCAGTTTCACATAAATGCTCATCAGTCTGCTGGTTAAGCATGACATGCACATCAGGACTGACTGACTGACTGACTCTCTACCCCACCAGGACATCACACAAGCGATAAACACCCGATGACACAAAGTGCCACCACGTGGATGAGGATCACCGTGGAGAGGTCCCAGAAACCGCGTTCAGACAATTGGCCATATTGATGGCCTGCCTATATTGCGGCCCCTGGCAAAAGCCAGAGTGGGGCTTCAAATAAGAAAAAATTACATCAGGACTGGCTCTGTGTAGCTCTTAAGAACTCTCTCATCTCAACCAACAAACATATATTATACCGCATATAGTACTCTTCATCTTGTGAAATGTGCTTTTGTGCTTCTATTCAACATTTTGCTTATTTAATACATCTTCCATCTGCTGTTATTATGATGCCTAACTTCTTCTTCTGCCTTTTATCTTCCAGCGGAGCACAGGCCCTCAACCACTTCACACCAAGTCATTCTATTCTTCACCATTGCGTGCATTTCATGCCATGTCCCCCCGTCTTTAACTTCACTCTCTAGCTCCCTTCTCCATTTTTTTGGGGGTCTGCCTTTATTTCTGTGTCACTATGGGTTCAACTGCAAAGACATTCTAGTTATATTGTCCTCAGGTTTTCTCAATGTGAGTCCTACCTAATGTTAGCGTCTTTTCTTCACCTCTTTGAACTTCTTTAGTTCTCTACCAAAGGATGCCTAACTACTTGAATACATTGACTTGATTTAGATTAGAAAATAAATTAATATTGAAAATATAGCCTTGATTATTCCTATGTAAATTAGATAGTCTGTGTCGGTGTAATACAAGTATGTTTAGACAAAGACGATCAGTATAGCATTGAAGATCTTTATTCTTTTATTATGTTTTTTCATATGTATTCATTTGGTGTTTTCACAATATGTTTTATCAGTTTAAATCTGCAAAATTAAAACTTACCAGGACCAGGTCAACAAATTGAGTCAAGCATGCACCTCCATACATATAATAATATAATTTGTACAGTGGAATAATAATTGTCTACATGGTATGCCAGGTATACCAGTTGGTGGGCATATTGTTAGCAACCTGTATGTTGTCAATATCGTTTTGATCACTGAAAATGACAGAGAACTGCAAGAAATGATGGATATAATTGTAACAGAAAGTGAAAACAAGGGTTTTAGTCTGAACAGCAGAAAAACAGAAGTAATGGTAATTACAAAGAATACTAACTTTCCAAAATACAACATCAAAGTATATGGGGCAAACTTCAAGCAAGTTGATATGTTTAAGTACTTGGGTGACTTGATAACATCAGAGATGTATTAAAGAAGTTAAATGTAGAATAGCTCAAGCAAAGGCAGCATTTTACAAAATCAAGAACATTTTATATAAGCTTTCTTTGTCCATTGAGACAAGAAAGAGAATTCTTAAAATCTATATAAATCCTATCATGATATAGGAAAGTAAATCATGGACAGTTGGTAAATGAGTTAAAACCTATTTGGAAGCTGCAGAGATGTGATTTTATAGATGAATGATGAGAATACCATACACTGGACAAATAAACAGAGAAAGGAAGATGTAAGAGACTTGACTCACGGAGAGAACTGACTGCCCACATTAGAAAGAGACATTCTACATTCTTTGGTCATGTGATAAGGAGAAAGCTGGAGTCTGACGTGACAGTAGGAAATTTGGAGGGCAGGAGAGGCAGAGGGTGACAGAGAGAAAAGATGCTGGACGGATTGACATCATGGCATGGAGGTTCATCTGTGTCAGAGTTTATGGGAAGTCTATGAGACAGAAGGTTGTGGACAGACGTGACGACCAACGCCACATGGCATGGACTTTAAGAAGAAAATACCACCAAATTACAGAGCATAAACTAAAGCCCATATGATCGCAAGAAGACTACGAGTACACAAACTACTAAGCTAACCACAATCTTGAACACATTTATGTCTCTTTGAAGTAACGTCTTGGTCTACTGAGCTGCAAGACTTCCAAGCATGGAAAATGCAGTGAGGGGGAAAAACATTAAGTATAGACAGAGATAAGCTACGGTTCGCCAAGGTTGTCGGCCCACTGAATGAAAACTAAAAAAACTTTTTACAATAGACCAAACAATTTTTTTTAAAAGAATTATTATGCAATAAACATTCATAATCAACAAAACATTTTAAAAAATAATATGAACTGAAATTTGGGATACGATATTCCTTAGTGTATAAATAATAGTGATACACATAGGCCTACCTGCTTTATAAGAGATATTCTTCTTCAGAATAAGAGATAAGTAATGAAAATTTTTACCGCTGTCATTGCGTAAGTGTAAAGGTGTCGAAAGTAAGGGAGATAAGTCAAGATTTCAATCTACTTCCAATTGATTAGTTGGTGTCATATGGTAGGCTAGACGTTAGACAAGATGTACACGGGAGTGAGTGACATGAGTGGTTGAGAGCTGTCTGCTGGAGTGGGGAGTCAGTGTGCGTGGTGGCTGCTGTTGTTCACACTGAATAAAGGCGGACGTGAACGGTGCTCGGAGGGAATGAAGTATAAACACGGGGGTAATTGAGTGAGAGTTCACGGCGGTACGGATGAGTGTGAGATGTTTGATTCTTTTATGATGCAGTAGAATACAGTAGAGTAAATCCGTTCTGTGTCTTAGAAATATAACAAATCGGATAGACAGGTTTGGGAAAACAAGGAATGAAAAGGGCACACAATTAATCACTCAATATAAAATATAAGGTTTTTGAATGCGAGTGACGAGAGAGAGAGAGAGAGAGGACTTTTCAATTTTTGCGGTGAACTGTGATCAGAATGTTTTCTCGTGTATAAACATTTATATTGCATATTATTGTTATTTAAACAATGCGGACACA